CAGAAAGAAAGGAATAGTCATAGATTGCATTCATCTGGGGAACATAAAGTAACAAAATAGGAGGCTAACACCCAAGAATGGCTGAGATTAGTACCAGGAATTTTACGCCATGGCTTGGAGGCCAGCCACACATGCTAGGGGAAAAGGCAGCTCAGATAGAGAAGGGAGCACCAAATAAAGGGTGTTGGGAGGATCCTCCCGGGATGGGAGAAGCTTGCTGAAAGTAGACTACAGACCGAACATGATTTCCACTCAATGTGTCTTTTGCAAACCACAGCACCCAAAAGGAGAGAGAGAACAAAAGGGAATGCCCTGCCACAAAGGCAGGGTGGGATGGGGGGAATGGGGGGTGGGAGGGATACTGGGATCCGTGGTGGTGGGAAATGGGCGCTGATGGAGGGCTGGGTACTCGATCATTGTATAATTGAAACCCAAGCACAAAAATTTGTAAGTCTACAACTGTCCCTCGTGATGTCTCACTAATAAAAATTTTTTAAAAAATGAAATATACCGGGCAAAAGGATGGTGTCGTGGTGGACGTGGGCTGACAAGAGGTGCTGGGGTAAGGGCATTCGGCATGACAAGAAGGAGAGAGACTGCAATGGCCAGGGCCCGGGGCAGGATGCAGAGGTGGTGCTTGTTGGGTACCGGGTTTCCGTGTTAAACCATCAAAGGCCATGGTGCCTGCCTACCTCCGTGAATTGGACTCAGTGTCCCTGGACCTTATGCTCAACAATGACAGTTTCTGGGCTGCGTATCTGCCCACCACTCAACAGGACAGGGAAGCCCCTGACCTTTGGAACAGTGACCTGCCGAGGGGCAGGTGACAGTCGAGGGAACCGGTCTGCAGAGCAGGGAAGGACACAGATGAAAGCCAAGCTGAGGAAGCCGGAGAGTCCCAGAGGAAAGAGCAGCCTGGGGGCGCCCTGGCCGGGAGCCCCAGAGGGGTGCCTCCTACTCACGCTTTCTCAAAGCGCTTGCCCTGAACGCCGCTGCCTTGTTGGAACCCAAGCAGTTGTGGGATGATGATCCCTGGCACACCTGTGCAGGTGGGACCCAGTTAGAGCGCCCCCTGCAGGCCGGAAGCTTGGGTTCTCAACGGCAGGCTCCAACGCCAGAATGGGGGGCCCAGAGACAGTGATCAAGAAGACTCCTCCTTTGTCACCCCCTCCTGCTCAGCAAAGCACCGGACACAGCGGGTGAATGAGACCCAGGAAACAAATTAGCCCGCGTGTCCTTCACGTGTGCACCCTGCAAATTTATGTCCAATTTAAACCAGGCCTCCAACCCTGCCCGCCCTGCTCGCCTGAAGGGCCCAGCTGAGTTCTTCACATTCACATCTGTTAGCTGGGTTCCAGGCTGGTTGAGGTCACTGCTAAAATTTCACCAACAGATTCCTGGGTGGGCCCCTCGACACCCACAAAGAGTGACTTCCAGGATGTCTGAGGTCATGGGGGATTCCAGTGACAGTTATCATTCCACGCAAAGGAAGTTAAATTCACCTGCTTTTTTTTTTTTCGGACTGGAGCGATAGCACAGCGGTAGGGCGTCTGCCTTGCACGCAGCCAACATGGCCGACCCGAGTTCGATTCCTCCGCCCCTCTCGGAGAGCCCGGCAAGCTACCGAGAGTATTCGATATGCCAGACACAGTAACAACAAAGTCTCCAATGGAGACCTTACTGGGCCCGCTTGAGCAAATCGATGAGCAACGGGAGGGCCTTTAACTTTACCTTTACCAAAACTTTTTTTCTTTTTTTGAGGGGGGAAATTTCCAGCGTTCAGGGGCACTGGAGGCCACTCCCAGGTGATAACTCTGCCAACTGGGCCTGGTGGCTCAGTGCTGGGACTCCTGGTTGTGACACTGCTTGGCCCAGTGGTGCCAGGAAGCGTCAGGGTCAAGGGCCTGCACAGCGCTGGGGACCCAACCAGGGTCTTGTACAAGCAAAGCATGATCCCTGATCCCTGGACCCACAAAATAATTTTTTGGGGGGTCACACCTGGTGATGCACAGGGGTTACTCCTGGCTTTGCACTCAGGAATTACTCCTGGTGGTGCTCAGGGGACCATATGGGATGCTGGGTTTCGAACCCGGGTCGGCCGCATGCAAGGCATACACCCTCCCCGCTGTGCTATTGCTCCAGCCCCCATAAAATAATGTTTAGTGGGGTGGGGACACACCTATTGATGCTCAGGGCTTACTCCGGGCTCTGCACTCAGGAATTACTCCTGGCAGTGCTCGGGGCACCATATGGGATGCTGGGAATCAAACCCGGGTCGGCCGCATGCAAGGCAAACAAAACACCCTCCCCACTGAACTATCACTCCAGCCCCATAGAATATTTTTAAGTTCAATAATTCTCTGTTGTTTGCAGGAAGGGGGACTGGAGGGGGCGCGAGGAATCTCTTTCCTTGAGACATCAGAGCCAGACGTTCCGAGAGCCTCAGAGAGAAAGCAGAGCTTCCGTCCTTCATTGCTCTCAGCCATTCCAACCAGCAGCGTGAGGGAGAATCAAAAAGAACTCCTGGAGAGCACTAGGGAACAGGCACTAGCTCTCAGCTTGCCGTTATCCTGAGGGAGGGCTCCGAGACATAGGTTTGTGGGAGAACTTCACAGTCCCAGAACAACAACAAGAAGAAGACACTGTCCAGGCGGAGATGAGGACTGCAAGATTCGATGTCTAACTGGCTTAGAGCTGGGCAGAAGCGGCGTCTGCAGCTGCAAATGGAGGGCCACAAAAGGAAGGGCTGCTGCGAGGTGATGACGTTACGCTCGAGTTTTAAAGTGTAGTTAAAATTTGCTGTCTGAGGGGCTGGAGTGATAGTACAGCAGGCAGGGCATTTGCCTTGCACGCGGCTGACCCGGGTTCGATTCCCAGCATCCCAATAGGGTCCTCTGAGCACCGCCAGGAGTAATTCCTGAGTGCATGAGCCAGCAGGAGGAACCCCTGTGCATCGCCAGACATGACCCAAAAAGCAAAAAAAAAAAAATTGCTGTATGATATTTCATAAGTTGATTACACATAACCTATAGAGTTCCAGAGGGAAAACGGAACAGAAGGACGAAGACCTTTGGACAAGGACTGCCACTGTGGCAGTGGCCACTGACCCCTACCCCCACCCCATCCTTTGTGGCTGGGATGTGCGTCCCGTGAGGGGCTGGGCAGGGGGCGGCAGCTCAGAGCCTAACAGGAAGTGCATTCTGCAGCTGCCCCGGAGTAGGTGGGTTTGAGTCCATGGATCTTGAACCAGCTCTCCAGTCTGGGGGAAAACGGCTCCCACACACCCCTCAGGCTGGAGTTCTGAGCCTGTCCAGAGACCACTGCTGATGTCCATGAGCTGTCACACCCCAGAGCCCCTCTGCTTAAGGGGTGTGGTGGTGGGGTCCATACTGCTTCTTCTGGCTCAATCTGCCAATTCAGGTTTTCCTTTGGCTGCCAGACAGATTTTATCTTTCCCGCGACAGCGAGAACGGCTGGGGCTCGCTGACTTACCTGCGGTGATTCTTTTAGTCTCCTAGATAACGGAATTTCCCCCTTCCAAAGGCGAGAAGACTGAGGCCAAATAAAGTCCAAGATCCCTGAACTAGTGAGTGATGTTACAGAATTACACTCAGAGTCCAAGCTTTTCAGCACCCCGAGTGCTGAAAAGAAGTAAGCAATGACCCTGAGTGCAGGAGTTGGGCTCTGCGTCTGCCGGCGCCCTAACCATTAGGCTAACCACGAAGCTCCGTGCTGCTAAGGACCTATTGTCCAGGCTCTGCCAAGCACACCCACCCCCCCACCTCCCTCCCCTGGGGAGATCCCTGTCTGGAGAGTGGGGGCTCCCGGTGCACCTCAATTGTGTGTTTCTCACAACATACAAGTCTCCACCCTGCATAACCACTACACTCCTTTGGAAGAACCGGTGCACACACCCCCACCCCCAGGGCTGACATGGATGGCGTCCATCCTTTTAGGACTTCATTCATCCTTCAGATGTTTTATGCTCCTTGTCTGTCCAACTGGGGGACAGGAAAGCACCTGAAGAATAAGGACCAAATCTTTGACTAATTTCCTGTTTTCAGGAATATTCAGCCCAGGGCTAGGCACAGAAACCCAAATTCCAGGATGATGTTACTCGTACACAACACTGACATCATCATAATAATAGTTATTATTATTATTATTATAATTGCTTAATTATTTAAGTTCTGGAAGAAAGCAGCTTCTATGAGTGGGAGATGATCGGGTTCTATACACATGGAGCCAAAACACTCATTTGGGGGTAAACACTCAGAAATAGTACATTTAATATTTTATTAGCGTTAGAGGACAACGAAGAAAATTTTATGAGCCTATTTCCTCCCAAATTTATTCACATTTCCAGCAACTGGGAACAAAAATTCCAATCCGTCTTAAAAAACGAGAGGCTATCCTATGCCTTCATTATGCTTTTTTTAAGACGAAGGCAGACTATTTTTAAAAAATCCTAACACAAGCCCAAATGGTTCTCATTAAGGAAAACATAGATCTTTTCATCCCTGATATGAAACGTCTATCATAATTATTGAAACAGTCCAACCCATACCCTTAAAACAGGAAACACACAGTCTAATAAACACGCTAACTTATTTATAATAGCCGGAGAGCAAAGACATCGGAAATCGGAATATGCATTGCAATCATCCTGCAGCTTCTAACTCGAGATTTATAAACTTTGAGCAGCAGCATGAGAGCCAAACGCTACCTGTCTTAATTCATACATTAGCTCATCGCAGACACCGTTCACGGAGGGAGCGATCAAGCCCCCGAATATCTGTTTTTATCCAGCAGGAAGACACAGACGAGAAGCCCCTCACAACACAAACAAACAGATGAGAGGCATCGGATGAGCACACACAGCCTGTCATGCGTTGCCTCCAGGCTTGGGCTCACAGCAAACACACACACACAACAAAAGACCGGCCGAGCGTGGGGATGCTCGTGGCACGGGAATCGGGGTGCAGACGGTGCAAACTTACCAGTTCCACAGATCCATAATGCTTCCGACTGAAATCCCCTCGTCGACAGCCGAGGTCTTCCGAGACGGAGCTGGAACAAAAATGCTTCATCAGTATCACGCATAGCGAGTCGGCCACAGACCTCCTGGCAGGAAGCAGCCCCCATCGGCGAGCAGGGCTGCTCGGAAGCCGACTTGCCCCCCTGGTCCTCACTGCAGGGGCACCTCGGAGTGGCAGCCACTGTCCCCAGCAGCCATTGCAGCCGGCTTGGAGGAGCCTCCGGAGAAGGGAAGAAACACACACACACACACACACACACTCACACACTCACACACTCACACACACACAAACGCCCGAGTCATCCCTGGAAGTCTCGGCAATGATTGAATTAAATATTTAGTCATTTGGAATCGATTGAAATTTCCAAGGCTCCCGGAGGCTGATCATTTCGTTTTCTGTCTCAGCAAAGGAGAGAGAAACCCTGCAGTAAACTCGAGGCCAGGGACGAAGCGGAAAACGATCTTTCAAGGAAGGCAGCCTCTTTGTCCCAACAGCCAACATCACAACAACAACAACAACAGCAACAATAAAAATAACCCAGGGCCTGGAGCGATAGCACAGCGGGTAGGGCGTTTGCCTTGCACGCGGCCGACCCGAGTTCAATTCCCAGCATCCCATAATGGTCCCGAGCACCGCAAGGAGTAACTCCTGAGTGCCGAGCCAGGAGTAACCCCTGTGCATCACCGAGTGTGACTGAAAAAGCCAAAAAAAAAAAAAAACCCATAGTATTTTTTGATGCTCTGGGGGGGGGGGGAACCCAAATCTTTAAACAAGAAGCACAAAATGCAACTTTGAAATCCTGGTAGGCCCAGCACCCCCCTCCCCCACACCCCACCCCAAGTCTTCTCCCACCCCTCCCACATTCCCCCCTCCCCTGGCTTCAATTTATAATACTATGACGCGAGGGGGAGAAAGGACAGAAATGAACACAGACCCAGACAAGCGAAATTGAAAAACTGAACATCCAAGCATATAATGTGATTAAAAAAAAACAAACAGAGAGAGGTTGGGGCTGGAGCGATAGCACAGCGGGTAGGGCGTTTGCCTTGCACGCGGCCAACCCAGGTTCGAGTCCCAGCATCCCATATGGTCCCCTGAGCACCGCCTGGAGTGATTCCTGAGTGCAGAGCCAGGAGGAACCCCTGTGCATTGCCGGGTGTGACCCAAAAAAGAAAAAAAAACAAATCAAAAAAACAGAGAGAGGTTGCTAATCCTCCCCCCTCCCCCATCCTCCCTCCCCAGACTCAGTTTAGGAGAGACAAACCACACACTGCTGGAAGAAGTCGAAACAAGGGTGGAAACCACGATTGCATCGACACTAACCCGAATGCAGTGACACATTCCCAAGATACTCCTAGACACGGGGCGAAGCAACTGGCCCCCGAGGAAACCACCGGGGATCCACAAATAACGGTCTCGGCGAGTTCTGCTCCAAACAGGGCAGGCAACTACCGCTAGCAGAAGCCAGAACACAAATAACACGGCAATGACAGTCCGCCTGTACCCCGACAATCGGTTCCGGCAGCTCCGGAAGGCGCGACTGTACCTTTTCATATTCCCTCAGAGCGAGGCTACATTTTCTAAATGCTGGAGCTCTCGGCCCCTACGGCGAGAGCCGGAGTCGTGGTGCGGCTGCTGGGATGGGGTCTGCAAGGTCCCAGGGCCACGACACGGGACAGCGAGCCTCGAGCCACCGGCGCCGCTCCAGCATCGCTCAGGACGGCAGAATGAGCCTTCGGGAGGAATTTCACCTTCTGCAGTTCTCACTTCCTGTGTCGAAAGGTGCCACCGAGTAACGGATGCCATTTGGAAGGGTGTCCCAGATATCCCTCGGGCTGCCTTCCTGCTCCTGGGGACAGGCGTCTCTACCCAGACATCTCTGAAAGGGACCCCGAGGGTCTTGCAGCGGCTGGTCAGAAGCCCCCCAGTTCCCGGAGAAGGCTGCCAGGGCCCGATGGGCCCACAGCTCAAGGTTCTCGCGGGGCGGCGCAGAGTCAGTGGCCCAGGCCAGCGGGTTCTGTGATGTGAAACGGACCCAGATGCAAGCCCAGAGATGTGGCTGTTGGGGCCAGAGGCTGGGCGCTGCTGCCCACATCTGGGTCCAGCTCCCTGGACGTCACAGTGAGCAGCCAAGCCTGGAAGAAGCATGACCCCTGACCCGAAGAGTCAGGATGAAGTGGGGGGTTCTTGGGCTTCCCTGGGCCCCGAAGTGGGTGAGGGGTTCTGAGACACAAGGTCAGGGTCTAACCGCCTAGGCTGGGAATAAACTCCATGACCAGGAGGAACATCAGGGGCCGCAGGGTGAGGGCTGGGGGGAGCATTCTCGAAAACAAACAGGAAAGAAACAGCCCCTGCCCCAGCCATCCTCCTCCTCCAGCTGGGCTCCTTCTGGGGGCTGCAGAGAGGGGGTGGCCAGGCTGAAGCTGGGATGCATCTTGGGGGCTGCAGGAAACACTCAGGTGGGCTTTGTCCTACCCTCCCCGCCATAGGCCCTCTCCCCAGGCCCTCTCCCCGCCTGGCCCTCAGCTCGGGGCCTACGCCGTGGGGGTGATGTGGTGCTCCCTGGGGGTTCCTCCAGGACCCGGTGACTGGCCCACTGCTGGGCCCTGGTGGCTGCACAGTGGACGCTGGTGACACTCCTGAAGGTACCTGCCCACTTACTCCTGCCAGCGTGCCCAGGGGGCTGTCTGCTGGGCGGAGGGGGGACAGCAGGAGGAAGGCCATGCATCAAGAGGCAGAAAATGGGGCGGGGGGGGACAGGGCGTTTGCCTTGCACGTGGTTGACCCGGTTCGATTCCCAGCATCCCATATGGTCCCCCGAGCACCGCCAGGAGTCATTCCTAAGTGCAGAGCCAGGAGGAACCCCTGAGCATTGCTGGGTGGTGACCTCCCCTTCCAAAAAAAATGCAGAAAGTGACATGAGCCAGAGACAGATGTGTGGTTGTGTTGAGAGCCGGGGTGACCCATCGAGGGCCTGTGTTCTATGAGCCAAGAAGCTGGTCTCACGCCCTGGCTGTGACCACAGCAGCAACCTTAAACACGTGCCAACCGGCTTTCTGGCAGCCCAGGGACACTGGCTGCATCCAGGAAGACGAGCTTGGCGGCTCCCTGAGCCCAGCCTGTGCTCTGACTTAGACTTTCGGCCATTCAGTGTGGCCAGGGCCCCCTCCCACGACACCCCAGGGGTAGGCGAGAACCCTGCAAAGGGGGCCATGGTGTGAGACTAGGGGCCACTCTGGTAGGACGGGGGGGACCACAGCAAGGAAACAGGTGAAAAGAGGCTGGGAGATGCTTAAGCACTGTCTGGCTGCAGCTGAGACAGGCTCCTTGCGGGGCCGAGACACGGAAAAGGGGAGCCCCAGCCCGAACTGGAGGGGCTCCCTGTGAGATAAAGGGCCTGGAGAGTGAGCGCGTAGCGACCAGGGTCTGCTGGCTCTGAGGACAGTAAGACATTTAGCCACTGAAGACAGGTAGTAAAGATGGGGTGGGGGGTCTTTCCACCCCTGCCCATAAATGTTTCCTGACCTGGCTAGTTGGGAGTGGAGGGTCAGGAGAGGGCCTGGGAGTGAAGCCACAACAGGAAGGGGCCTGGGTCCCCAAATGACCACACTGAGGACCCCAGTGGGCTTCCCGTCACTGGCCCTGGCGGGGCGGGCGAAATGACTTCAGTGACTTCCATTCCCTGAAGTCACTAAGACCCGGGGTCATCAAGACCAGAGCAGAGGGGGGCTTCAGGAGAACCCCCTCCCACTCACAGAGCTTGTCAGAGGGCAGAGGGACTTGGGGGGGGCTTCAGTGGGTTCCTCCCCCATTCATCTCCTTGGCTTTTTTTTTTTTCTGGAAACCGAGTGTCCCTGGCAGCCGGCCACTCCCTGGGGTTCCAGGCTGTCTGTGGCTGCTCTTGCATGTCAACACACGGCTGAGTGTCATAACAGAGGCCCACGGGGCCCACCCGCCCGAGAAGTCTGGCATGTGGGCGCTGGCCGTGGCGTCTGCCAGCCCTCTCTGCATCTGCCCTCCAGGGCCTGTGACTGGTCCTCACGCTGGATGAAGAGACCTGAGAGCAGCACAGGCCCTCCCGGCCCCCAGCCGGAGCCCAGGCAGGCACTTTCTCAAATGCAGGTTCCCTGGCCTGGTGCCTGAAATGGTGACTCAGCTGGTCTGTGATTATCACAAAGGCGGGGTGGGGGGGGGGGGATTCTGATGCAGGAGGTTAGGCACTGCTCTTCTAGAAGCTTCAGGAACCTTCGGGAAGGCGCTCTATACCCTGTGGCATGTTGGTGAGGAAGGACAAGGCTCTGGGGAGGTTTCCCGTGAACAGGAGGAGGGGTGAGGCATGGGCCCCAATGCTGTGGGGGGGGGGGGGTGGAAGGGATAAGGGGCGCAGCCCTAGGCCCTGGTCCGCCATGCAGGGGTGAGGAGAGAGAGGGCAACTTGGCCGTTCTAGTGAGAAAGAGCAAGCGGATTCCACACACACGTTTATCCCAGGAAAACGACTCAAAAATGACTCTTATTACCGCTCCGGATTCTTGTTTAAGAAAGCGCTGGGAAGTGGCTTCAGAAAACCCGATTACAAACTTCCCAGCGCTATTAAATGTGTATACGGGTCACCCCTCCCCCCGTGGTGCTCCGGGGAGCACATGGAGTTGGGGCAACTCGGGGTTCACGCGTGCTGGCCATGTGGCTGCCACCTGAGTTCTCGCCTTAGCCTCTTTCCGATTTTTTGTTCTTTTGGGCCACACCTCGTTTTGATTTGGGGGCACACCAGACAGAGCCCGGGTCTTACTCCTGGCTCTGTGCTCAGGGATCACTGCGGCAGAGCTTGGGGAGCCATAGGGGATGCCAAGGGACGAAGCTGGATTGGACGAGTGCAGGACAAGTGACTATCTGCTGTACCATCTCTCAGGACCCCCACATTTCCAAAGAGTTTTAAATGAGATGGATTTTCTGCCCCGTCACAGAAAGGGAAGGGGTAGGGGCAGGATCCAGGCAGCCCCAACGTTCCCTCTCTCCTTCCCGGGGGTCCCCCAC